GAGTCCCAAGTGAAGGGGGAAGAGATGAGTAGCCCCAAGTGAAGGGGGCAGAAATGAGGATCCCAGTGAGGGGGTGGAAATGAGGACCCCAATGAGGGGGCAGAGATCTGGAGCCCTGAGTGAGGGGAGTAGGCCTAAGGTATGTCTCTGGACACCTGAGGCGGTAGTTTGGGCCAGAGGCCGAGTAAGGGGGCTCGGTCCAAGGGAGAGGGGCAAGTCTCAACCCTGGTAAATTCTCCACCGTTGGGAGGCTGAGTGTGGGTCAAAAGTAATAGCTAGAGGAAGAACCAGAGGGCTGAGTGCCCAGTATGTATACATGTATAAAGTTGCCCCTGGAAGGGGTCAGAGTAAGCTTCGACCCCATCAGGTAATTAGCTGGCCACTACCCTGGTGAGGGTCACGGGAGGGGCCCAAAAGACAGTACGTCTGCCACCCAAGGAATGAACTAGCTAAGCCTATGGCCTAATGAGCCCACTCCAAGAAGGAGCAAGGCAGCATAAGTTGGTGATGGATGAAAGAGACCCGTGTAAGAGGGTGGAGTGTGAGAGGCCATAGTGAGAGAGGGCCGTATGAATGTGTGTGTGACTGAGGTGTGATGGCACAGCCTAAGCTTGGTCCAGCTGTAGGTTGGGATCACGGTAATATCTGGATGCCATCTGCGAGGCATGGGCTGTGGTGTAGGAGAGGTTCGGCACTGCAGATAGCGTCCCCTGGCACTGGGGCATGAATGGGCAGCCTTCCACCTTAATTAACAACTATTAATTAATTAAAAACAAGGCGTGGAAGATGAGTCAGGTGGGTGGCATGCCCGAAGGTAAGTGGGGAACCTAGCACTGTGGCACTTTGCCATGCACATCTCTATGACTTCTCCCTCTATTGCTGTCTCTTCCTATTTCTATGTTCATCTAAACTTGGAATCTAATTATGCAACTTCATTCTCATGCAATTTATCATCTTAATGTAATGCACAATTTATGTTACCTAGCACCATGCATTCTGAGATTAGTTAAATAAATGTCCTACCCATCCCCAAAAGATTCTCAGGCTTTTCTGTGACCCTGCTGAATCCATTTTGATTCTAAAGGTAATTAATATCTGACACTTCTCAGGCTTGAAACAGATTTCTTTAGTGAAGCGCAACCAGCTGTGCTGCCACATCTCACAACACACCTGATTGTGCTCCAGGAATGTCTATAGTCCAGAGTCCAATGGAGGGCAGGATGGCAGGTGTTTATTTTTCATACTCCCCATCAAACATAACTTTTCCACTAGCCAATATCATGATCATTTCCTATAACTTATAATTAAATTGAAAACAAAGGTTGCTTTCCTCCAGCATGGACACCATTTCTACACATACCTTTGCATGCAATAGTAAATTTGTCAATTCTGAAGACTGTTGCCCCTTTCTATCATTTTGCAAATAACAGAAGTAAAATTGAGATCTTCTGCATAGTGGAAAGGAATATGGAATAAAGGAATGCTGGAGTCAGGAGGCAGATGTAGGGGAAATTGTTGAGAATGTGGAGGGCATAGTATTGCAAACCTCAGCAGTCAGAGATCATAAGGCAGCATTTTAAAGATTTTAAAATGTGGGGGTTTTTTAAATTTCCCTTCCAATTTTTGAGCCCCTGGGATGTTCATCTATTCTGAAAGCATGTTTAATCATCTCTGTATGACATTAAACTGAAATGCATGTGTAAAAATGGAAGTTTCCCTCATGGCTGCCTGGATTAACATTTTCCTTTCTAAATCCTTTGGCTTGTGAAACTGCAATTCTTTTCCTCTAGTATTACTCTGTTTATTTTTAGTATTATTCTGTTTCACGCCCCATAACAACACATCATTTCCTCCAGTCACCTTCTTTCTCCAGGCTTTCCCAAGACACCTGACCTCAGCCAACTGCCTCAACTTCCCTTCCTGTCTGATTTTCCTCTACACTTTACTGGAAATCACTGGTTCTGAACCTTTTCTATACCTTTGCTTTACCTCCCATATCAGAGAAAGGTATGCTGGTTGGGTTTTATTGACTAAGTGTATTTGGCTTCAGTGTCACTGAAATGAATGGATGATGATGGCTACTTTGCTGATTGCAAAGCTAAGTATCAGGAAATTACATGAAGTTTAAAATAGAAGCACCAAACATATAAACATGTGATAAAATTATGAGCTGACATTCAACAGTCTTTGATAGGGTTCAGGACAATGTGGAAGGGAATGAATGGTACAGAAATGAGAGAAAGGGTGAACAAGACAGGGCAATGATATAGGAAGGGGAGAATGGAGGGGAGAGTGGTAGCTTACAACATCTAGTTGACAAGAGCAGGAGGTTAATGACCCTGACTGAAGAATGGAAGTGGAAGCTTGTGTTTTTGTCAGTACCATGGGGCTAGATTTGTAGTTCAAAATGATCTTACTAAATTGGAGATATGTGGGCAGCTTCCAACTAAAAAATCAGAAGAAATAAGAAAAACCTGCAAATGATTATTTCTTGAAAAAATACTCAATTTTCTACCAATACTGTGAATTTTTTTGAATGCTTAAACTTGGTAAAATTATAGATAACCCACAGAGGTAAGTGCCTTTCTTCTCATGTTGTACAATATTATAATATTTTAATATAAAAAGCATTTTTTAATAAACTGAAGTATGGGAGAAAAAAAAGTGGTTAAGTCCCCTGGAAGCAACCTTCAGACTGTACATGACTCACCAGCAAGGTGTACACTATGTCATCATAGACCAGCGATGGTAACAGTGACTTATCTGAACTTCAAAGACCTATAAGACAGGTGATGAAGATACAAAATATTAATAACATGTAAAATCCCGTACATTTATTTTGGATAATTACAAAATGTAGCAAAAAAAGTTGTTTAATACTTCCACTAAAAAAACAAAGTAGCAGGCATCATCCACAAATTTATATGTAATTTTATTAACCATTGATGAAACTCTAACTGTGACAGTGATTTTGTAAACAAAAGTTAAAAACAGATAACTAACAATGGACTAGTTAATTCATTAACAGTAATGAGTAAACTTCAGATTTTTTTATCCCAAATATCATGGACATGTAAATGTCTATCAATTGGATTTATTTAACACAAGAAGAATGGACATCAGAAGTGACTAAATTCAATTACTCATCTCTCCTGTTGCTAACATTTATCCAGTTAGCAGGAAGTGCTCTTAATAACAGAGTTTGTTGCAATCAGGAGAAAATCATGTATGAACTAGAATCTGCCCTCCCACTTTGCTGCAGCAGTGACCATAGGATGGGTAGTATCTTTCTACGATGAACAGGAAGAAAGACCTCAGAGTCAGAGGAAACCTCTATCAGCTTTATTCCCTGTTAAGAAAAGGATTATTTTGTGGGTTGTCTTTATTTTCCTACTTTTTGTACCAGAGCAGAGGTCTCATACAAGCAATATTTCTTGGGTTTCTTGGGAAAGGGCAGACTTTCTAATGTTGGTGTTTCCTCCATTGAAGTGGGGCCAGTTTCCTTCCCATGAAAGTGAAGACCACATGGGAAAAGAAATCAGGAAAAAGTCATCATCTTACTGTAATCACAAGGCATGTTTTACAGATAATAAAAATGAACTCAGAAAACATAAAACTCTGACATTATAAGGCCCTGATGAGAGTATAACAAAGACTAGTATCATTAAGTAGAATCAATAAAATTGAGAAAAAATGAACGGAAAGAGAAGCAGTGTCTTGAAAAATTCAAACAGCAAAAGTGAAAGGATATGTCTATTCCAATTCCCAACAGCACCGCTGTGAAGTGTGCCCTACCTAAACTGCTCCTGCTCCATACACATGCAACCTAGAATGGGACAGTAAAGCTACCCTGAGGGTATGACGCATAGCCATGGTCATTATCTCTATTTCAAGCATAGTTTAAATAGAGTTACCCTCAGGGCAGCTTTGCTGTCCCATTTCTGGATTTGGTGCATGTGAATTGGCAGGGTATGCTGGAGAGGGGCATTTCCAGGAGTGCCATGGAAATGTTAGAGGAATGCCATAAGGGAACTTGAAATACATGTGTAGTGGGTAGAAATGGTATTATTTAGAATATGACCACAAACAGGAAAACTACTAAGCTGTGAACAGAAAAATAACTTATTTACTAATACATGTAATTTATAGGAACTTTTAAATAATAATACATGCCTAAAATTGGGTGTTTACAAGCAAAGTCAATAAACCAGTACCAGAATAACTGAAAACAGGGTTTGACCTTTTTGATCTTTTCCATTGTAGGATGCCAAATTCTGACTCATGCTTGTTTCAGGCTCTTGTGATAGATGTCAGTTGTCATTTATGTCACCCCCTTTTTTGCCAGTAGACATACCAATTCAAGGAATCTGTGCAGTTGACACTAATGTTATCTAAAATCTAAACACAACATACAGTGATTTTCTATTTATTTAGTTTCCTTCTTTTAATCATAATGACTTCATCTTACGTATTACCAGTAGACTAATTTTAATTGCATTCAGTGGTACAACTTGTGGAGCAAGGAGCAAATAAACTAGCTAGTATAACAGAATTTGGCTCTGAGTATCTTGGTGTTGTTTGCAACTGAGTGTAATATCATGTATGTGCTTTCTTTTGTTATTCTGAATTTACTTGAACACTTCATCTAATTGTTAGCAATTGTCATATAAATGAAAAGTGGGCTATAAAGGAAATTAAAATACAATTTATTTTAGAAATAAAAGGATATGCTCTGCTGCACCTTTGATTTTAAGGGGACTGGGATTTAACCCATATTATATGTGTTCTCTCTCACCAATTTTCACAAATTGGAGCAAGCTTGGATTATGTATCCTAGAAATCAGATATATTTGAATCTCAGGCAAATGATGGAATAGGATAACTGTTTCTAAAGGCTTGGCTCCACAAGGTGAAGGATGTCCACAGAAGAACAAACTGCAGAAGCTGGAATTGCTTATACTGTTTGTATTTTATTCTCATTTTATGTTTCTTTTTTCTAGACTTTCATAGTATTGAATAGAGGGAAGACAATATTCCGATTCAGCGCCACATCTGCCTTGTACATTTTAACTCCTTTCAATCCTCTTAGAAAAATTGCTATTAAGATTTTGGTACATTCATATCCTTTTCAAGTGTGCAGCTATCGATGTTGCCATTTAAACAAAGGTATCATTGTTGATATAATTACTTTTATTTCTCTGTGTGCATTTACATGTACTAGAGTACAGAGTTCTATATGGAATCAACGCACATGGTATTTCTTTTAGAACAAGAAGTCTCTCTTCCCTCTTCATCATTATCTCTCAAAAGTGGCTGTTGAAAGACTCCTCCTTTAACAACCTTCAGTTTCCTTTGTCAGGTGATCTTACCAATGAAGTTAATGTCTGCAAAGCAGGGTTATTGTTTTTAGGACCTGATTTCAGGCACCGGTCAATTTTGCAATAATAATGGTCAATATAGGAAACCTTAATGACAAACATACAAATGAAGCATGAACAGTTAAATCTAATTCCACAAAATTCTCTGAGGTTACTCAGAACCTTGTAATATTAAGGGAGTGTGAAATAATCATATTCCATGAGGACTGTACATTTTTATGAGTACAAATTCACTTTAGTCCAATTAGTCTCAAGTGCAATCCACTGAAATGCCAAGGAGTTTATTTGTGTCCTCAGCATTCATGCTGCTGTCCTGCAATGAGCCCTCAAAAAGTCCCATTAACATCACCAACTTCAGCTGAGCAACAGCCAAACTGTTGAAGAGAATAGCCTGTATGTCCCCATGCAAGTAACTTGTTCAACTAAATACAACTAGGCCTAGTCTCCTGAATAGACCTCATGAGTAATCTCATGGATCTCACTGTGACTGTTCACCTGACAAAAAGATGTAAATTTAGGCCCAACAAATTCTTTGCCTTACAATTGCACCTAAAATCTCCATCTTGATCAGGAAACATGTTGTTGGGTACTGTACAGACACATGGTATAATGGAATCCAGTCTGTATTTTCTTAAGTGAAAACTGGTTATATCATAATTCAACATAATTAATAAGGATATTGCAAGTTTCATTTAAGCCCAGAGCCTACCACAACCGAGAGAGAAATATGTTATTTTATGCTGCAGAAGTATAACCATATGCCAGCTGGCATATGACATTTAAAATAGATTAAATTACATAGGCATTTTTAATTTCAAGTTGTATTTAGAATATTATTTGCTACTTATATACATATTTATATATTATTTATTTTTAATAATTCAGGTGTTGAATATTACATCTTTTGTGCATTATCTCATTTTTCTGGCTTACATTCCTTGACTCTAAGCTACGTTATTCAGCATGCTTATTATGTGCACTATTTTGACCAACTGTGTATTTATGACCATGAGTAACCCCCCAGACTGGACAAAGAATGTAGAGTAAGTTAAACACAGTTGTTACTGTAATAACATTTTTGGACATAATGTGACTAGAATATTTACTTATTGGAACTTGCTTTCTGTACTCATAAAGAATAGATAGATTCCATGAGGATGTGACCATCTTTCTAGCCTTTAATCTTAAAGTATTGAAGTGTTTTAAAAATGGTACCTATTTCTTGATATGTATGCTTGATGAATATCTGAAGCTTTTCCAAAAAATATTAAGGTCTGCATCTTGTCCCTAGATGCAATGGGGTCCAAGAGGGAAAAGGAACATTAATAGTAGAAGAAATATATGCGGACAGCTTTAAGTATAACTTGAGAGGCCAGCCATAATGCCTCCTTACTGTACATCAGGGTGTTCCAACTTCAGCATGGCCAAAGGCCACACATGGTACCAATATACAAACCCTGGGCCACACAGCACATAGGCCCGGGCAACTTCCCTCACATTTCCCCCTACTTTGTGGGCTGCACTGGCAGCACAGTTCTTCTGCCCACTGCTGTGCAGGCAGTGCACATGGCCTCAGGCCCTTCCTGTCACACAGAAGAGGGAGAGGCAGCTGCCTGGGGGCCATGGGCTGCATAATAACTCCTTGCAGGCTGCATGAGACCCACATGCCATTAGCTGGACAACCCTGTATTAGTTAATGCAGTTAGACATTTACCATAGCTTGAGAGTATATGGCTGCCTAGTAGAAGGTGTGCGGATTTCACATTCCAACAAATTTGGAACAAACAGTTTGTCAGGAGCAAGTCCAGTCTGGAAACAGGAGCAAGGAGCCAGAATACAGGAACCAGAACCTTGAAGAGCCAGGATCCCGGCTAGAGTTAGGATCCAGCATCCAGATAGGGAGAGTAGTCTACTGGGCATTGAAACGACTGCTGCTTATACAAGCAGGCAACCATGCCCGTGGAGATAACTTTGGCCAGCTAGAAACAGTTAGGCCATTTGCAGCTAAGCCCACTCAGGTGGTCAGGGCCAGCTGTGCTAGTCATCCTGTCTGCTGTCCTGATTCCTGATACTAGGTGCTCTTTCTTAGGAAGGAATTCTGCTTATAAAATATGCCTGTACAAATATAACTTATTATAGAACTTTTAAGGAGACAGCTCTGATTTTAACACTGAAAACAATTCTGTGCACTTTTTATAGCACTTAAGACATTAATCTGATTTGCAAATGCAAGCAGGTAGCCAGGCATGTAAGTGCTAGAAATTGTGCCTATAAATATTTGTGCCTGAAATTATTTGTAGGCACAAAAATCTACGGCTGATTTTCAAAGCATTTAGAAAATCAAGCATACACATTCTCTGAATAAAATTTTAATTAACTTTACAATTACAACTTATAAGCTTACAATGTTGTAGTTATATTATTTATGAACTTCTCTATTGAATTTCAAAGATTTTTATAGTCCTTTGTCATAACAAGTAAACCTATAGTAATTAAATGTGATTGCATATAACAATTGATATGCCAAGCTCAGTTTCGGTAATGCTTGCTTCCTCAGGTACACATTCACTGGAATTTATACCTTTGAATCACTTATAAAAATTCTTGCAAGGGGCTTTTGTTTAGAAGGTTTTACTTTCCTTCGAGATCCGTGGAACTGGCTTGACTTCAGTGTCATTTTGATGGCGTAAGTGATTTAACAATTTGTAAAGCTTATGAGGACATGAAATTAGTGGCAGCACATACCATACTACTATTGGGCATGCACTTATTTGAAAGTATTACATTCCTGCAAGTAGCAAAGTTGTTACTGCATGTGTCATGCATATTAATAACCATACTTCAAAGCATGATATTGCAGGAGCCAACATGGTATGTCAGTCACTAGTAAAGGGACACTAATTTCATATCCTTCATTCTTTCTGCTCACCAGAATGGAAGCCATCCCTTTGACTTCATGCCACCTTGTTATTACTAATCTAATTAATTTACTTAGCTTTTCCAGTATAAAATCAGTGAGTTTCACTTCAATGAAATTCAAATGTAGTTGATAACTTATGTCTATTAAAGTGAGATGTACTACAGAGAAAGGTAAATTTGGACTCTATTTACTAAAATCAACAGAGGTCTTGATAAAAGACCCAAGCAAGTAGTATAAACTCTGTCTCAATTCTGAATAATTGTGATTTAATTCTGCAGGTATGTAACAGAATTTGTAAACCTAGGCAATGTTTCAGCTCTTCGAACTTTCAGAGTATTGAGAGCTTTGAAAACTATTTCTGTAATCCCAGGTAAGAAGTAAATGGTGTAAGGTGCTAGGCCCCTTGTATCTCCAACTGTTATTTGTGTGCTGTCATTGTGTTTGTGTGTGAACTCCCCTATTACAGATATGTGACAGAATTTGTGGACCTGGGCAATGTCTCAGCGTTGAGAACATTCAGAGTTCTCCGAGCATTGAAAACAATATCAGTCATTCCAGGTGAGAGCTAGGTTAAACACTGAGGCTGACTTTAGTTCCATTGAAGTTGAATTCACTTCTTTTCAGCATAAGCCTTGTTATGCACTGTTCATGTTGCAAAAAAAGACAGGAATCATAGAATAGGAACGTGATTCCTTGCCTTTTTAATATTAGCTTCTTTTCTTTGCCAAATCAGCCTTTGAGTTTAACAAATTGTTGCATGAAACATCAACAAAATGCAAAGCCTTATTTAGTTTTTTTATTGTTTGGGGTGGGAGGGTTGGTTATTTGTTCTATTTCTTTTGGGGAGCAGGGGCTTTGTTTGCATTGTAATATGACAAGTTTTTCCTTCACATTGAAAAAGCTTTAGTGCTGTGGCTTTCTTATTTATTTGGATTTTACCATTTATTGCAGTCACTGAAATTATAAAAATAGTTATAAAACGTTCTCAACTGATGGAGAAAAAGAGTTTTAAAATCAAAGTAGCACAAGCATGGCATGTGATATTTATCATTTTCAGCTGCTTTTATTATAGGAATCATTTCCAGTTTCATTCATTTCTGCCAAGTCTTCTTTATCAATTGTTTGGAATGCAGGCACTGGCAGAAGAAAGAAAGAAAAATAAAACAAAATATATAACAGGAAGATTTTTATTTACATGGTGTTCATGTTTTCATATTAACCATGATTGATAAAAGTTTCTGCTTGAAAGAACATAATATATTACGTGCATTTGGAATGTGTGTACATTGCACTTTCATAAACAAGAAACTTTGCTATTCATTCATCTTCACAAGCTCTGAGGCTGTCCATAAAGCTTTACTACTTCACAAATAAGAAAACCATCCTTTTGGGCTTCTGCATGAATACATATATTTATAAAAAGAACATAAGATATATTTTAATACACTTTTGGAAATTTTCTCTTTGCAGGCTTGAAAACTATCGTGGGAGCCCTAATTCAGTCTGTGAAGAAGCTCTCGGATGTAATGATCCTGACTGTTTTTTGTCTCAGTGTATTTGCACTAATAGGGCTGCAGCTGTTCATGGGCAACTTGAGGCATAAATGCTTGCAGTGGCCTCCAGACAATTCTACTTTTGAGATAAACGTTATTTCCTACTTTAATAGCACAATGGACAAAAATGGTACATTTGTTAATACAACAGTGAGCACGTTTAACTGGAAGGAGTACGTTGAGGATGAAAGTAAGAATGACTGATATAACTATTATTCAACTCTTTGCAATATCAGTTCATGGCTATTTGTGATCAAACAAAAAAGATATACATGTATAGGGCACCTATACATGTGATGGACCTCTGCTTCAACACATGCTAATAGGAAGTAACATAATTTTGTGCATTCATATGGTATCACATGTCTTTTCAAAGCAATTGAGATCCAAATTCCTAAGTGAACTGAGAAGCAGTCAGAAACTAAGTATGTCTACTACACACATAAATATATATGTAGATTCTTTTATGTTAATTATGCAGTTTTTAATTTACTATTTCTTTGATTTATTCACATATATTTTTAATGCTTTCTAAACAGCTCATTTTTATGTTTTGGAAGGACAAAGAGATGCCCTACTTTGTGGTAATAGCTCTGATGCAGGGTAAGACTTTCAAAAATATTCTGTTTCGTAGCAATAGGAACTTTAACTTTAAATATCAGATATCTGTCTATTCATATTAGAACTTTTCTAGGAATTTGATGCTAAATGGTTGACTTCAGATTGAAATCAAGGTATTCTAATCTCTGGCCACGCAAAGTAATATACCTTATAAAGTCAATTCCAAGATGAGGTTTTTTCCTGCATTTACCATGTGGAAAAAAAACCCCTTGTCCTGGAACTGCTTACAAGGCAATACTGGGGGAATCAGGCAGCTACTGTGGCACTGACTTCAGTCTCAAACCCAGGTTGGGGCCAGAGCCGCAGCTGCTACCTGAACCTCCACTGCCTCTGCATCCCCTGCCTCCCCCGCCTTTAGTCTCGAGCCCCAGGTCTCTGCCCCACCCCCCTCCAACTTTCCATCTTCCTCCATCTCCCTCCATGCCCTCCCCCAGTCCCTACCCTTGATCTTATGCCAACAGGCTCCATCCTTGCTTCAGCCTGGGGCATAGAGCATGGTCTCAGCCTGGCCCTGTAGCAATGGTGCTGGCTCTGCATTGCTGCTATGGCCTTGGGCTTAGGCTGTGCTCTGTGACCCAGGCCGGAGAAAGGATGGAGCAATGGTAGGACAGGAAGAGGAGGAAGAGATGGGGGAAGCAGAGGAGAGACGGGGAAGCAGATGAGAGATGGAGGTGGGGACCCAAGGGTGCAGGGGTGTGGGTGGGGACAGACACTGCAGGCAGGAGTAGCAGTGTGGGGTGGTTGAGAGGGGCAGGCTGCAGGGCTAAACTGCCTGCCCCCTACTGCCTATCTCCCACTGTTCCCCCACTGCCTGTCCTACCATGCCCCTCTCACTACCTCCCCCACTGCCTGCCCTCCCAGCACCTGTCTCACTGCTTCCCCACTGCTTAAACTGCATCACCTATTCCCCTGCCATAGCTTTTTCCACTGCAGAGGTGGTAGGGATGAATTTAAGATAATCTTCCAATAATTAGTTTCTGTAACAAATTGATAAATTGTCCACATATAAAACCTAATGGGGGTGGGAGGGAAATCTTAAATTCAGGATCATCTTGGATTCAGGGAAATACAGTAAATGCATGTTCTTGTATGTTTAGAACACATTGTTGATATCAATGATAAAAATATCAACTCTCATATACTCTTCTTTTGAGATGTATTGATTGAACATGAATAACATGAAATCAAGGGTGTGAACTGAGAAGAATAAAGTGGAGAAGGAGAACCTGGATATCAAGTCAGAGTAGTGTCTGCATAGTTCAAGGATGAATTTTTTATTTAGAGCATGAGTCAGATGGGCTAAACTGAAGAAGTTAGTTAACTTGAAAGCTAACCTCCCCTAAAAAATCCCATACTACTTTCAAAAAACCCTTTTGGATTATGGAGCCAGGCATGAAGCAAAAAGCAGAGTCCATGTGTGCATGATACTTAACCCTTACAAAAAGGCTTTATACTTCCATGTACCCACTGGCTGAATACTCCAGTAGAGCTGGCTGAATACTCTGGCAAAGAGTGCTGTATCATAAAAAAGTTGTTCACTTTGGAGGAAGTGAGAAAAATTGTGATCTCACAGTTTTTACTTGGTGCACTTATTTGGGGGACTAACTAGAGCAGGGGTGGGCAACCCCCAGCATGGGTGCCACAGCATGGCACATGTTGGCATTTTGCTTGGCACGTGTGCCTCAGGGTGGATAGTGGGGAAGGGGTTGGGGCTACATGGCCACAACAAGGATCAGGCCCCTTCTGTTTCCCCATTGTCTGCCCCTGGCACACCAGTATCTTACAAGTCAAGGCTGCAGGTGTTTCTAGCACTCTGCCCAAAAATGTTGCTGACCTCTGAACTAGAGTGTCATTCCATCTGGACTCAACTGAGTTTAAAGGTTCATAGTTTAGACCATAAAGATTTGGTCCTCCTTGAGTTAGAAGTTCAAAATCATTATACTACAGTGTAATGTACATAAACTAGAGTATTTGAGTATTACTTGGCAGTCTGGTTACTTAATTTGAGTTAATTTCTATAAGCGTACAAACCTTTGTTAACTCTTTGAAAGGCTCCAACATGTACTTCCCCCTTTTTATGATAGAATAGTGGAATACTTGTGCCTAGCCAGACCTACTGACACAGTAAAGTGTCTTTGTGAGAGAGGAATACAATACAATATACAATAACAGGTCTTGCAGACTTCAATCTGCAGTCAAAAGGACTTTTGCTAGGTAAGCTCAGAACTTACATGGGTAGAATGAAGCCCTTTACAGAAAAAAAATATTTCTTATGTGAATTTCCTGACTATACTTCTTTAATACTATTTTTGTCAGGATGTGAAGTGTTTTATTTAGAAATTATTGTTGAAAATGTGGCTGGTGAAAATCTGAATTAAATAATTTGACAGATGTTTAATAAAGGAAACACGTATTGACAAACACAACACAATATAAAGAGGTATCTGTTATTTATTTGTATTAGTTAGATTCTTGGGACCTTTTTAATTGTCTTGAACACACAAAACATTAATTGACTGCAATTTTCCTAACAACAGCTATTAAAAAATTGTGATAAAAATAACGGTTATGTTCTGAAATATAACAGAGATCGGCATAAACATTCACTATAACACCTTATATTTTCTCTTCACATAGTCAATGCCCAGAAGGATATATGTGTGTGAAAGCTGGTAGAAACCCCAACTATGGCTATACAAGCTTTGACACATTCAGCTGGGCCTTTCTGTCACTCTTTCGGCTAATGACTCAGGACTTCTGGGAAAATCTTTATCAGCTGGTGAGATATTTTGTGAAGCAAAGGCTACATATTATTTGCTATGGTGAAGTTGTATGAATAGACTTCTATTCAGTAATGATAAGAGCCTTTAAATCAATGCCTATAAAAGCTTGGTATTGCATCAGTAATCTATATTACCAGACTAGTAAACTATGTGTTTATATGGTTATGTTTCCCCCTACAGACGCTACGAGCTGCTGGCAAAACATACATGATATTTTTTGTCTTGGTGATTTTTCTGGGCTCTTTCTATCTAATTAATTTGATATTGGCTGTTGTTGCCATGGCCTATGAAGAACAAAATCAAGCAACCCTGGAAGAAGCAGAACAGAAAGAAGCAGAATTTCAGCAGATGCTCGAGCAACTGAAAAAACAACAAGAGGAAGCTCAGGTATATTAATAATGTAGATTGTACTTTGTGTCTGTTTTGGAACATCCATATTCTTAGACCTAAAATTCTAAAGTTACACTCATAAATTAACATATATAATGAGATTTAATATATAGTTGGGCACATCTATACATGCATTAACATGCTTTTGTTAATGTGCATTAAATCTAGTATCTCCATTGTCAGGTGCTACGAAAGTGGCCATTAGCTTTTCTTAATGCACATTAACTACAGAGCAGTTTTTAAGTAAAGTTTAATGTGTGCTAGTGTATTTTAATTCACATTAACTAAATAATACAGGGCACCTATACATGTGATGGACCTCTGCTCCAACACATGCTAATTAGCACAGGACACGGAATACATGAGACACTGCAGGCGCTTTAATTAGAGTGGCTCTGACAGCTCTGAGAGCCACTCTGATTAAAACATACCTCCACCCCAGAGCACACGTATAGAAACCCACAGGTTTTTTTAGTGATGTTATAATGTGCATTAAAAAAGGCTAATGCACATGTAAGTGCATATGTAAATGTGCCTAGTGAATTAAAAACCCCAAAGCCTTTGCTTACTACCTGAACTAACTAGCTTTTGAAGTGCATTTATTAACTGCACATGTAAATCAGCAATTATTTTTAACTAAACATCTTAAAAAACTTTTTTACTTGTTTTAACCTTAACCATATACACTCAATTGCCTGGAGGATTCTGATTTCACAGGATATTGCCTCTGCTTTGCACTGATATAAATGACTACACTAAGCCTAGTGTCACAAAATTATACGAAAACAATTCATAGTACATAAAACCACTGTTACTACGTTCACCAAGAAGTTCTGTGGTAACATGCTTCCTGTTTGAAATACCCCCATATTGAGGGGCTCAACCAGTGATTTTCCCACATTCCCCTACCCCGAATCAGTCATGCATTGAGCACAGCTTGGCATGATTTAGTAATCTGATTTCTATTATGAATCTCCCACCCGCATTCTGACATGCACAAAAGAAGCATGGGGCTGGAGATGATGTAGTCATGCTTCTTTTGTGATGCATGATATTTTTCTTTTTGTTTTCCTCACTTCTTGATCATTTAGCATTAGACTTCCCTCTGTCCCTTCAGGAAATCACACAAGCACAGTGAGTGCTGTCTGGAATCTCCATCTGTTTTCAAATATAATTTGAAAATATATCTTGGCCTGCCTGTGTGTCTATCCACAGTGCTGTGCATCTTCCCATTTGCTTTCCTTTCCCATGGTGTTTAACTTAGAAAAGGAATTGCAATTTCTATAACATTTTGGAATATAGAATTTAGAAAAAATGAGAGAAAATAGCCATATTTAAATGTGGTTATATGTAAGAAATGAATGTTTATTCAATTATATGTTAATGGTCATAGATAACAGTACCAGATTTGATAAAGCATGCTTTGCTCTTAGACTGTACTTAAACACCTTGATGAATTAGGATCTCAGAGGATATTCTAGTACAAAATACTTCCTTCTTTCTTTTTTATTTTAAATATTTGAAAATGATTATTAAATATTGTGAGTCTAAAAACTCTGAGTATAAATAGAATTAACTTCATTTAATGCCACCAAACTAATGGATTAAATCATATAGTAGGAATTACACAAAGACCAAGTATTAATCCTCATTATCAATGCCGAGGAGGATCAGCAGAGTTCCTTTAAAGTAGGATGTAGAATTCTTCTGAGGAAACAGGAAGAAGCACAGAGATTTGAAGTATGTGTTTGTGGAGAAGATAGCACCTGTGATTTATTGTATTACATCTATTTTAGGCTAATTTATTGTGCAGTATGTCTTTCGATGTTAATACTGCTCTATTAAAATTCATCCTTTTTGTCTTATGCTTCATGTGACAGGGAACTAAATATTTATTTAAATAGAGTTTTTCTTGCATTTATTTCAATTGTTATTGCTCATTGAAATGTTGTTCTCAAGCAGCAACTTTTTAGGTTAATAATAATAAATGACCCTACAAGTATTTAAAATTATTTGTATTCTGCATCCTAATTTATCACACCTTGTAACACAACAGGCAACAGCAGCTGTAGCAGCAGCATCAGTTGCGTCGAGAGATTTCAGTGGAGTAGGGGGATTAGGAGAGCTCTTAGAAAGTTCTTCAGAGGCATCGAAGCTGAGCTCAAAGAGTGCTAAAGAAAGAAGAAATAGAAGGAAGAAAAGAAGACAAAAAGAACTCTCGGAAGCCGAGGACAAAGAAGATGTTGAAAAGTTTCCAAAATCTGAATCAGAAGACAGTATCAAAAGAAAAGGTTTCCGTTTTTCCATGGATGGAGGTCGATTGACATATGAAAAAAGGTTTACTTCTCCACATCAGGTAGAGTACTGTTACTAATTAAATCATTTTCTTCTACTACTGTGATGTGTTGGAAATTTCAGCAATGTTACACAGAGAAAACTATATCATAGAAGCAAGGATTATTTGTGATGTCTGTTATTAAACCAACCATATAACTGAGAGAGCTGTTGGGCGCATTTTCCAACAGTGTATCATAGTTATTGTAGTTATGTTTCAGACAATGAGCTGGATATGTCTATTAAATTATCTAGGACAGAATGACTTTACCCACTGAGGGGTACTGATTTATATATATTTTTTAATTCACACCATTTCTGAAAATATATTTATATAATACATCTGGCATATGCTGATGTTATGGGCTGGAGTTTTTGATTAATGCTTATTTAGAAAAAAAATAAGTTGGTCATAAACTGTCCACTTTTGCATCATATCAAATCCATATCAATAAGGCATTTATGACTCATGTTCTGAAGCTGAGAATATCAGACTAACAGCTTTTATTGGCGACCTTATCAAATGTAATTATCTGGTTGAACGAGAAAAAAATATCTCTGATATGCCGCAATGAAGGGAGTGTGGTAGTGCAACATTTAGGCTTATATAGGAGTAATTTAGACATCCTGTTTAATTAATTAGTTCTACATGACAGAGAAAGCATCATTATATTCTACCCCTATAAGTCAGGGTATTTTGTCTACCAACATGAGATAACCTCACTTATATAACACTTAAAATACCCACATACTTGATGCATTTATTTAAAAGCCTAAAATTTTGGGGTACCTATAAAGATGTAAAAGAGAACTGTTCTCATTGATTGAAAAACAGTGCACATTTTGGCATGATCCAGAGCTCATTATGCTCAGTTCATTAATTGATTAGAGAGTCTTTCCATTAACAGCAAACAGGCGAATATGAAATGCTTCATTTAAAGATCTCAAAGAGCATTGTATTAGTGAATTGATGTTAAAGTACCATCAGCATGGCATACATTTGTCCATAATACTCTCTGAAAGCTTTTCATCATTTTTTCAAAGTATCTCCTGTCATCAAGAATTATTTAAATTTTCACAGAACCTTTAAAATCTCAAGACACTTTAAATGACTTTTACTAGCATTAAAATTAAATGTTAATTCATGTTGCAAAATTAATAATTAAAACTTTCTAAAATCCAATGGAAATAAATATTTTTGTACATTTTAGTCTTCAAATTTAATAGGGGAAGGCGCAAAAAATAGGGAACTGTCTCTCTTTAATGAGTCATGGCTTACACAGCAGGCATAAAAACAGTTAATAGTACAGTGACCTGCAATGAAACTTAACTACTGCATGTGGTAAGCATTAAAAAGTGACCTGTAAATTGTATTAGTGACCTAAAGGAGTAATGTTTCACTGATTTGTGAAGCAGTACAAACATTTTAGAGCAAAGTTTGCCCCTCTACATGGCTGACAAGGGCCAGAAATGAATGGAAACTGTCTGTTGTGGAGAGAAAAGGGCCAGATATAATCTGAATGGGGAAGACTTGCATATCACATGCTCAAGTTCCCTGTTAATTATCTCTACAGTATCATCATGGTGGATGAAAAGAACAGGCTGGAAGAGTGAAAAGAACATGGCAAATGGGTCTGTGGAAGCTCTGACAGACTGATCCAAGATTTTGTGTGTATATTTTAATGGGACAAGCAGATTGCATTCATATATATACAGAGGTCTGATAGTTTCCCTGAAAGTCAAAGGCAGTTTTTCCATTTACTTAAATGGGAGCTAGATATCATATATCTGATATGTACTCCTGCTTCACAGAAATGACTAGTGATAGGGAATCAAATTCTGCTTCTTAACATTGTCTCTTGAGTTTGTCTGTTTGAGATGTAGAGGATTTTCACTCTTTTTTGTTCTCTGGAGCTACACCCTGGTCTACAAAGGCACTTAGTATTAGGTGCCTAAGTCCTACCTTCTTTAAGAATGATCCTCAAACTCCCCCTCACCCTACACCCACCTGAGGTTTACCAAAAACATCCTTACTGCACATGAAGTTCTACATCTACACATCCCCAGAACTGCTGCCACTTTGACATGTCTGAGTAAACTTGGTTCTTAGCACCTGCCTAAACCAGATTAGGATTCTTAAACCAAGTACCTCTCCATCCAAGTATTGTTTGGGGCTCAGAGCATACCTAACAAGACTGACAGGATTGGGAAACACACAACCTATGGCAGCAAAAACCACTTAAAAGCAAGGATGGTGGTCCCATTGGTGGTGGAAATGTAGCTGCTAAAACCTAGTTTCCACTAAGCATGTGGAAACTGATTTTGAAAGTTTGGAATTTGACCATATTCAAATGAATTTTCACAAGCATGACAATAGGGACACTGACAAAAAGCTCACTGCCATGCCAAAATGCAAGTCCCTGCCACAAGGATTTTAGGCTGCAGACAGACTTTATCTTTGTTACAGCAGAAAATGTTTTAATGTGGAACAAAGTACAAGCATACAGAAGTCCTTGCTGCTTGTCTCAGGACAACCCCCCAAAATGCTTATGTAGAAAGACCCACTAACAGTTTGCCCCACATTATCATTACAGATGTCTGTTGTTCCATGATATTCTCACAGGATTGATGAACAGGTCAGTCTCCAAGTATCCTACAGTGCCCTGCTTCAGTCCCAGTCCTGGCCCTTCTTGAACTCTGTCTGGATGCTTTGGCTCTGACTGCATAACTCTACTGCGCAGAGATATCAAACTCCAGGCGGCCAGCTCTCACAGATCAATTGCCCTGCATGGCAATTGTGCTTGCCACTTACTTGAGACCAGCATCAGAGCCTGCATCTTTCAAACACCATCAACCACTGAGAATTTCCTGGACCCATCAGACCCACCTGGGACTTTCATGGACCTCTAGGAACTCTATACTCCCACACACCAATCTACCCTTCCCCACCATGGCCCCTCAGTCTAAGTCCAGAGCCCTGAACAAGCACTGAGGAAACTAGACCAAGGTGCAGGTAGTTGATCTCATTGTCATCTGGGGTGACAGCAAGAATGAGTGGGCATTCTGGGCATGCCATCAAAACAAGACAATCTATCAGGGGGTCACCAAGGAAATTGTAGCCTGGGGTCATGACCATGACTGGTCTCAGTGTCAGTTGAAGTATAAGGTACAGAGGAAGCAGTGTACAAAGACATTGGACAGCAACCATGTTGCAAAGTCACAGGCAGAGTCATATGCACTCACTATGAGGAACTCTACTGCATCTTTGTGGTCAACAACATAGGCCTGTAAACATGATGGACATGGCAGCCCATGCCATTTTCCAGGAGTGTTATGAGGATTCTGATGCAACAACGGTCAAAGACACAGCCCTCCCAGGCAGCACAGCAACCCGGGCAATAAGACAGATTGGGGACTTCTAGTCCATCCTGGCCCATCTGACCATCCATCCATCAGACACCACATAAGGACACAGCATACGTGCATGCTGCAGCCATTGAGGGCTAATGTGCTCATGTTCATGGGGGAGTAATGGGTTTCATGAAAAGCTTTATTTTGTTACATTTGTCTCCTTGTTTATCCTCTTCTGCTTTCCTGTTGTCCTGTTTAATAACATTTCTGCCTTGTATAAGAATTGTGGTTTTGGTGTTTAAAAAATTGGGTGGGGAGGAGCAGTTTACCGGCAATCAAAAGTATTCCCTTGCATTAGCAACTTGCATTGATTTGAGGGAGGAATACCTTTAAGGTCACTAGAAACATCACTGTGCTGTGTGTCCCACTTCAGTTAGGCAGTGATTGATACTGCATAAGCTAATTGCCCACTTAATGCCTTAGCCATCTCCCAGCCAAAACCACAATAGCGGTACTACAAAAGGGTAGGGACCCAGAATACCTGGCTTCACACCCAGAGCTCATGATAAATCGTCTTATCACTTCCCTCCTCTCTCCCAGCCACAGCCCCAGCCCCAGCCCCAGACCACTGCACAGCACCTAGCTGAACTTTTACCCCCTCCAAAATGCCCATCCTGCACACACACACACAGACACACATACACACCACCCCCTGCCCACACAAGAGCATGAGTTCAGTTGACAGTGTTTAATCAGGTACATTAAACCATTGTATGATTCATCACCCACAGCCCAAGGACTGCAGAAGTGGTCAGGGAGCTTGTCTCAAACATGCAGTGCCAGGCAACTGGCCTCCATTTGAGAATTTGCAGGCACAATGCCAGCAGGAACTAAGGGCCACTCTACCTCAAGTTGCAGAGGCAGGGACTTAGGTAGAGGCTTTCCCTTAGCCTCATAGATGTTGTGCAGCACATATGCAGAGACTACAAACCATGGTAGGTTGCACTTGCTGGCATCCATGCATGTTCTCAGGCACCTTCAAAGAGGCTTGAGATGGCTGAAAGCATACTCTGGAGCCATCATACAGCTGTTTAGCCTGTAACTGATCAGTTCTTTCTGGGCATCTAGGGCTCCAGTGGATGGTATCATCAGCCAGGGGTGCAATGGGTAGGAAGGGTCCCCAGTTACTAGTTGGGGTTTAGTCAGCCCTCTCAATCTGGACGTCAGACAGGTCAGAGGCACACTCTCTCAGGTCCATCAGCTCAGAAGAAGAGGGAGCTCCTAAATAACCTGACATCATGTACCTTGCTAAACCAGCTGGCTTTTGAAGGCATGAAATGGCTACGACTGCCCAAAGCACACTCAAGAATTAGTTCTTCCGATTGATGAACTCCCAGCCATGGTGTGCAGGGGTTTGCAATCAGTAGTTCCAACATAGCTGGGGAGCTCCAGGTTGTCAAACCCATCCATGTCCTCCTGTAGTGCATGGGGCACTACCTCAGGACACTAGCATGGGACCTGGATTGCCAGATACTCTCTCTCCAGCTTTTGACTCCCCCATGCCAAAATGGTTTGATGTGGACGAGACGTCATCTGGGGTTGTGAGCTTCCACATAGGAATGGCAATGTGCTTATCCACAGATAAGGGTGACCTCATCACCACTGTCCACC